GGGCGCTAGGGCGCTGGGGCGACGACGGGCGGCGCTCAGGCGTCAGAGCGGGCGGCCGTCAGGGCGCTAGGGCGGGCGGCGCTCAGGCGTCAGGGCGGGCGGCCGTCAGGGCGCAAGGGCGGGCGGCGCTCGGGCGCTAGGGCGAGCGGCGCACGGGCGCTAGGGCGGGCGGCCGTCAGTGCGCTAGGGCGGGCTGCGCTCGGGCGCTAGGGCGGGCGGCGCTCGGGTGCTAGGGCGGGCGGCCGACAGGGCGCTAGGGAGGGCGGCCGTCAGGGCGCTAGGGCGAGCGGCGCACGGGCGCTAGGGCGGGCGGCCGTCAGGGCGCTAGGGCGGGCGGCGCTCGGGCGCTAGGGCGGGCGGCCGTCAGGGCGCTAGGGCGGGCGGCCGTCAGGGCGCTAGGGCGGGCGGCGTTCGGGCGCTAGAGCGGGCGGCCGTCAGGGCACTAGGGCGGGCGGCCGTCAGGGCGCAAGGGCGGCGGCGCTCGGGCGCTAGGGCGGGCGGCCTTCAGAGCACTAGGGCAGATCGAAAAAAAAGAGGTACTAGGGCCCGGAGCGCGCTCCGGGCAGGAAAAAAAAAAAGGTTAAGAGGTAGCGGTGGTGGGCCCTACGAACAGTTCCCACAGGGGAACCTGCTCGATACCATGTGAGAATAAGCGAACAGGAATGAATGAACTAGCAGTGAAATTAGTACAAGTAGGAAACCCTAGAATTGTGTACCCCCTATAGGCTAACCCACTGTAGCCTACACAAGCAGAACATATATGATGTTTGACACGCAGTAGACATTGCAGTAGTAGAAGGAGCAGAGCAGCCGAGTGATTTCAAGAAACTGCTGGCAGCAGTACCGCCCGAACTACAGGAACTGTTCAAACGATACCCAGGGATTTTTCCCGACGATTTACTGGAAGGACTGCCACCTCAGCGAGCACATGACCACCGAATAGAATTAGAACCGGGGGCACAGCCAACTGTACAGCGCCAGTTCAGACTGACACACCCGAGCTCGACGAACTAAGGAAGCAGTTAGATTACATGTTAGAGAAGAAATTCATCCGACCGAGCTCGTCACCGTTCGCCGCACCGATACTGTTCACGCCCAAAAAAGACGGAGGGTTTCGCATGTGCATCGATTACCGAGCCCTCAACCGGGTAACATTCAAGTCACGGTACCCCATTCCCCGCACCGACGAACTGATCGACCAACTGCGAACAGCACGGATTTTTTCGAAAATCAATTTACGGGGAGGTTACCATCAGATTAGGGTCGAACCATCGGACTGCGCCAAAACAGCTTTCCGGACTAGGTACGGGTCATTCGAGTACACCGTTATGCCTTTCGGGCTGGCCAACGCACCTGCGACATTTTAGATGACCATGAACGAGGCGTTTAGGCCACTTTTAGATAAATGCGTGATAGTTTACCTCGACGACATCCTCGTCTACACTCGCGACAAGCAGCAGCACTTAGCAGATCTGGAAGCAGTATTTAAGATTTTAGACGAGCACCGGCTACTGACAAAGGGTTCCAAGTGCGAGTTTTTTCAGGATAGGTTAGAGTTTTTGGGGCACGTTATTTCGGAGGCTGGGGTCGAAATTGACCCAAAGAAGTTAGACACGGTGAAAGCCTGGCACCCCCCGACGAATATTACGGAACTCCAGAGTTTTTTGGGGTTCGTAAACTACGTGCGTCGGTTCGTCCCCGACATGGCACGGTTGACGGCTCCACTGACGGACTTATTACGGAAGGGGGTCGCTTTTACGTGGGGGGAGAAAGAGCATGCTGCCTTCTCTGCCCTGAAAACTGTTCTCTGTTCACCGCCCGTCCTGCGCATCGCTGACCCACACCGCCCATTCGAAGTAGTTACTGACGCCAACGACATCGTCATCGGAGCCGTACTGCTACAAGACTTCGGCAACGGCCTACAGCCCATCGCATACGAGTCACGAAAACTGCATCCGCCCGAGAAAAATTACCCGATACACGACCGCGAAATACTTGCGATCGTGCACGCGTTCAAAGTGTGGCGCTGTTACTTGACCGGCGCAGACGTGACAGTACGGACAGACCATAAATCACTCCAGTACCTCCGCGCACAGCCACACCTCAGCCCACGACAGATTCGTTGGCTCGACTTCCTCGAGTCAAATTTTCACTACACGGTCACCTACAAAAAGGGAGCCTCGAACATTGCCGACGCACTGCCCGCCCCACTGCCCAGGTCCACGCAATACTACTCGCCCAGACCAGCCCCCTATTAACAGGCCTATTTACCCACGGGTACCAAACAGATCCATTCTTCACAGGAGGAAATTCGTTGCAATTGGCAGCAGCAAGGGGAGTCTATTACGTAAAAGCCGGGACCGACCGCATCTGGGTGCCTGGGTATACACTGCTACGGGAATTACTGTTACAGGAGGCACACGACGGAGTTACCTCGGGACATTTCGGGGTAGAGAAAACACGGCAGCAGCTGCAGCGGTATTATTACTGGCCCGAAATGTTGACCAACGTATAGCGACACGTGGCATCGTGTCCCACTTGCCAGCTCATAAAGTCATCACGGGAGCGGCCGGCAGGACAGCTGCAGCCGATTCCACCCCCAGAGCGTGCTTGGGAACAGGTGACGATGGACTTCGTCACGGGGTTACCGGCCGGAGCGAGTGGGAACGACGCGATCCTAGTCGTCGTCGATCGACTGAGGAAAATGGCACATTTCGCAGCCTGCAAAAAATCAATCACAGCTGAAGAAACAGCAAGCCTCTTCATCGCCACCGTCGTACGCCTGCACGGGATACCAGCAGCGATCATCAGCGACCGAGACACGAAATTCACCAGCAACTTCTGGCGGAACCTGTGGCAGCAGTTTGGCACGCGACTACAGTTCAGCTCTTCGTACCACCCCGAAACCTACGGACAGACAGAACGGACAAATCAGACCATGGAACAGCTCATCCGAGCCACATGCGACGACCCGATCACCTGGGAACAGCAACTGCCACTCATCGAATTTGCGTACAACAATTCACCGTCCGCCACGACCCAACAGTCACCATTTTACCTAAACTACAGACAAGACCCTTCAGTACCCATGACCCCGAACCCCGACAACTCGGTGCCACGAGCATAACAACTCGCTGAAATATTACAAGCAGCACGGACCCGGGCAGCAGACGCAATAAAAAAATTGAACATCGTCGCTAAACGCAACGCCGACCGCCACCGCAGACCTGTCACTTACCAGCTCGACGACCTAATTTTACTTAACACCCAGAACTTCCGCCTACCCATCACCCCGAAACTCCGCCCCCGATACTGTGGACCATTTCGCATCAGCCAAATGATCACACCCGTCACCGCCCACCTCCTCCTCCCCGCTGACTCGTACGTCAGCCCCTCGTTCCACGTCAGCCTGCTTCGCCCCTACGTCCCGTCCACAAGCCAACTCCCACGCAATCACCCAGCCAGCATGACATGATCGCCGACTAAACCAATCATCACCCTCGAGAAGATTCTGAGTCACAGAGTTCGCGACCCTCGAGGAGCCCGAAGGATAGAGTTCCTGATCCGCTGGAAAGACCGTACACCCACCGAAGACAACTGGGTTCCCCTGGACAGAATCGAAAACCACCCCGTCCTCACCGAGTATCTATGCAGCCGAAACTTTAGGGATGTACTCGCACTTTCGTAAGGAGGACCTCCTTAGGGGGGGGGGGGTAGTGTAAGGAAAAATCCTTTTCCTTACTTCGCGTCCCCGCTCAGCGCGTACATCACTGTAGCACCACAGTCAGCACCATTACCACTCGCAACTCTCGTATCGACAATCCTCCCGCCAACTTCGCACGTCGCACCCCGACCTCACGGCTCGGCGGGTAACCCGCCATCCAGGCCTCCGCTTCGACACTTTTCCCAACCTCAGTCCCCGGCCCGTCACGCGACAACCACAGTCCATTACCGTTACCACTGTAGTTTCGCTATATATTCTTCGCTCATGCCTTCGCTCATTGTACACTTGCTTCGATAGTGCAATTCTCGCTCGCTCACTCAATTGCACTCGTAACAACAAGTCACAACTATCCATCCTTGCATCGCCTATCCGGAATTAGCAGTAGTAGCGGTTTTAGGGGGGAATTGTTGTCAAACTTATATGCTATAGTATGTGTAGGCTGTAGTGGGGTAGACAATATGGGGTACAACATTTCTAGGTTTTCCTACTTGTACCCACCTCTTTCCTAGTTCATTCATTCCTCATTTCTTCACATGGTATAGAGCAGGTTCCCTAGTGTGAACGCTTTCTAGGGCCCACCACTGAAATCGAAAAAAAAAAATCTGACCGGAGCGCGAGTCGCCCCTGCCCGAGGCGCGCCCCGTGGGCCGCCCTCCTTTCGAGCCCTCCTAGAGGCCCCTCTCACGGCCCCTCGCGCCACCCTTAGCGGCCCCGTCGTCACCCCTACCGGCCTCGTCTCCGCCCTTCTAGGCCCCTCGTGGCCCCTTCGCGGCCCCGTCGCCGCCCCTAGCGGCCCCGTCGCCGCCCTTCGAGGCCCCTAGCGGCCCCTACGCGGCCCCGTCGCCGCCCTTCGCGGCCCCGTCGCCGCCCCTAGCGGCCCCGTCGCCGCTCTTCCCGGCCCCGTCGCCACCCTCTAGCGGTCTCATTGCCGCCCTTAGCGGCCCCGTCGCCGCCCCTTGCGGCTCCGTCGCCGCCCCTTTCGGCGCCTCCCCGGCCCCTTCACCGCCGAGCCGCCCAGCAGCCGAACAGCCGAGCAGCCAAGCCGCCGAACCGCCGAGCCGCCGAGCCGCCCAGCCGCCGAGCAGCCGACCCGCCAAACCGCCGAGCCGCCGAGCCGCCCAGCAGCCGAGCCGCCGAGCCGGCGAGCCGCCGAGGCCGCCGTCGAGCCGCCACTACCGAGCCGCTGCCACCGCGGTCGCCGCCCTGTTCCTTCCGGCGCGCCCCGGCCCTACCCACCCGGACTGGTGAGAGCACTCCCTTCTAGACCACTACTGTCATGGCTACCCCCAGTGTCCTTACCTTTGATGCTGAGGGTCGTGCTGTTGACTTCGAGGTCTGGGTCGATGACCTACAGCTCTTCCTACAGTGCGATAGGGCAGACGGACTCTCCCTGATCGATCTCACCTCTGGTGCCTCTCTTGCCCCGCCTGCTGATGCTGACAGCACTTTCCGCTCACAGTGGGCCATACGCGATGCTGCTGCTCATCTTGCTGTGCACCGCCACTTACCAACCACTGAGCGTACGCACTTTAGTCAGTACGAGAGTGCTAAGACCTTGTACGACGTTGTCGTTGCACGCTACTCTTCCCCTGCCACTGCTGCCCTTAGTCGCCTCATGCTGCCGTACCTGTTCCCTGACCTCGCCGCCTTTCACACTGTCGCTGACCTCATTACGCACCTTCGCACAAGTGACACACGCTACCGCGCTGCGCTTCCTGCTGAGTTCTGCGCCAAGAACCCTCCCCCCATGTACATCACCCTCTACTACATAGTCACCCGGCTCCCTGACTCCCTTCGCTCGGTCAGGGACCACTTCCTCTCTGTTTGCCCCACCACACTCACCGTTGACCTCCTCGAGGAGCGCCTCCCGGCAGCTGAGAAGAGTATAGTAGCTGTAGGAGCCTCTCGTGGTGACCCTCATGCCCCCTTCTTTCAGGGGTGCTCCCCCTCCCACCTGTTGCCCTCTGTTGCCTCTGCTGCTGCCGTCGGCCTCGTTGGCTTCGAGTCAGTTGGAGCTGCGTCTGCCCCTAGCGGGAGTCGCCGCACCGGCAAGGGCAAGGGGGGCAAGGGCGCTGGAGGGGCTGGCGGGGGCGGTGGAGGTGGCGGTGGAGGCAGTGGAGGGGGTGGGGGTGGTGGTGGGAGTGGTGGTGGGGGTGGAGGTGTCGGTGGCAGCAGTGGAGGCGGAGGAGGCGGCGGCGGTGGCGGTGGGAGCGGAGGCGGCGGAGGTGGCGGAGGCGGCGGCGGCAGCGGTCGCGGCTCTGTGCAGAGGAGTGGCTCTGGTGGTGGTCCGCGCCAGTTGCAATAGCGCACTCGTGAGACCCCATCCCCCCAGCAGCTTTGTGAGTGGTACGCTGCGCGTCAGCGAGGTGGGGGTACTGGTCCCTATACCTACGTCCTCCGTACCGGCGACCGCGCTGGTGAGCAGTGCGGGGGCTCGCACTCCACCCAGCGCTGCTTCGGCCGCCTGACGGACGCTTGGCGTCACCAGTTCCCTGACGCCACTGAGATCCCTCGCTGGGGAGAGCTGTGTAGGGCGGGGGTTGCTATCTTTGATCTTGATTATGATGCTATTCTTGCTGCCATGTATGCTGTTTCTACTAGTGATGAGGGTGACTGTTACCTGTGTGTTCCGCCTGACCCGGGCATTGAGGCTGCTGCTCTAGGTGTTGGTGAGGCTGCTACTCTAAGTGCTAGTGCGTCTGCTGCCCCAGGTGCTGGTGAGTCTGCTCTCTCAGGTACCACGTCGGCTCATGCCTTACACACCTTCACCCTTGACTCGGGTGCTTCCCGCTCCTTCTTTTGAGACCGCACCACGCTTATGCCGCTTAGTCGGCCGGTTGCGGTCTCCCTGGCGGACCCCTCTTGGGGTCCTGTCCTTGCTCGCTTCTCCACTGTCTTACTGTGTCTGACAGCCCCCTCTGGCACCCAGTCAGGTCTCTACCTCCCCTTGTTCTCTACGAACTTGGTGAGTGGTGCTGACCTACAGGATGGGGGGGTTGACCAGTTCACTCCTGCGGGTCAGCGGGTGACCCACTGTACGTGTGCTTGGACGGGCTGACACTTGGCCACGTTTACTCGTTAGCCGGGGTCGAGCCTGTACACACTGACTACTGAGTCCCCTCCGGTTACTGAGTCTGGTCAGGTAGCTGCGTCCAGTCAGGTGTTTGCTGCACCGTCCAGGTCTAGTCCTGAGTCTGCTCCCTGCTCGTGTCGTCTCCTGTCCCACCAGACTCTCTTCTGGCACCATCGCCTTGGTCACCCCTCGCTGCCTCGTCTCCGAGGTATGGCCTCCCGTGTCCTTGTCTCTGGTCTCCCCCGGTCCTTCCCTCCCCTCCCTCTGGAGCCTGCCCCTACCTGCGCTCCCTGCGTCGAGGGGCGACAGCGCGCCGCCCCTCACTTCTCCGAGTTTCCTCCAACAGAGGCTCCGCTGCAGACTCTTCATATGGACGTGTGGGGCCCCGCCCGCGTCCGTGGCCAGGGTGTCACCAAATACAATGGTAAGTGCATTATATTTTGTGCATGTGCTAATTGAGGTGTAGAAGTGTTGTGGCAATTGTTGTTTCAATCCACCAGGGAGGTAGTTGGCTATGGGGAGAAGCGCGAAGTTGGTAGCCTAGGGTGTTGCAGGGCGCTGCGGGTGTAATGTCGAGGACATTGGGAAAGAGGAAATCTAGCGAGGGCCAATCCAAGGCCCAGTCAGCTCGAGCTCAACCCTTCACGCTGGAAATTGCGCGACAGGGTAGTCAAGCACAAAAAGCCTAGCCTTGCAAAGCAATCCTGTTCTCTCTACTTGTTTACCTATCATAGTGGATTTCTGCTACCGTTTTCAGGCTATTGCAGCTAGGTGACGAAGCCACTCCTGGTAGCCATCCTGTGGGAGCTCGGATCTCTCACAAGTAGAGAGAAGATGAATGGCGATATGGATCGCCACGAGCTGCGCATGTAGCGGACGTATTCGCGGCGGGAACGATCCCCGTCACGCAGTTGGCGCTCCAGGGAGCGCGGGAGGTCGCCGACGCGCTCGCCATGGAGAGCGGCGTATCGAGCAGATCGAGTGACACAGGTGGGCGTATGTGCTGACGGACGTGAAGTGGAGCGATTCGTCAGAACGGAGCCGGGCAGGCGACCCACGACCAGCAATCCGTGGGATCTGGCGGGAGGCCAGAGCTGAAGAAACGGTGGGCGTCGTAATGTCGACGTTGATATGGAGCATCCGGATTCGGCGAGCGAGGCGGAAGAGGAGGAAGAACGCGAAGAACCAGCGGGCGCGCGGGACCAGCCTCAAAGCGTGGGAGTGCGCGGAGGCGAGCAACACGACCATGGCGACGATTCCCTGGCAGCGCGGGGTGGCGACGCAAGTGGTGACGGCGAAGATTCCCCGATCGTGCAGGGCGAGGGAAGGCAAGGCGATCGCGAAGATTCCCCAGTTGCGCGGGGCGGCGAGGAGCTTGTCGAACATCAAGACTCCCCAATTGCGCGGGGCGGCGAGGAGCACGGTGACCACGAGGAGGACGCCCCAGTTGCGCGGGGAGGCAGGAGGCGCGACGGCGGGGAAGATTCCCCGACAGCGCGGGGTGGTGAGAAGCGCGGAGCCATGAGAGGTGCCCCACCTGCAGGAGGAGGGGGACGGTGTGAGGACATGGAGTGGATTCGACACGGGGAAGCTCGCGAATATTACAACAAAGATGGTGGAAGAGACAACTTGCCTACGGGAGGGCGAGAGCAGAGCGCGAGGCGCGAACGTAGCAAGGAAGATGCGTGCGGGTCAAGGATGCGGCGCGGAGACGAAGGAGAAGGGCGTACGGCGAGCAATGTCTTCCTCTCTCCTGAGCCGAGGCCGGGGTACGACCGCAGCCGCCGCATGGCGATGGGCGGAAGTCAATGGCAGCACAAAGCAGAGCGGGACGGGGAGAGGAACAAGGACGGAAGACGACGAAGGAGCCCGCCTGAGAGGGAGTGGAGGTATGAAGAGGACAGGCGAGTCAGGAGAGAAGGCGCAGGAGCGCCAGAAGCACCGAGGGCAGCATAGAAGGAACGGCAGCGAAGAGATGAAGGGCGGCGGTACCAGGAGACCCCTGCAAGGGGAGAGAAACACTGGGAGAACAGAGAGGAGCGTTGGGAGGAGCGTGAAGATGCGCGAAGGAGGAGCCCGAGCCCATTAGGGCCAAGCATGCCTAGGAGACGCGGTGAGGGGTCAGCGGGAGTGAGAGCGGCACGAGAAGGTATAGAACGAGTGTTGTATGGGAGCAGCTCAGGTGGCAGGGGAGGGAAGGAAGGAAGGAGAGGGGTGACAATGTCAAAACGCGGGGAAGCAGAGTACGGGGACACAGGGAAGTGGGGCGTGGCGGCGCAGCCACGCGTGGAAGTGCCAGTACGCTTCACAGGAAACGAGAAAACCGGCCCAAGTCTGAAGAATTACGTGATGCAGATTAGCAACGTGAAATACCGTTGTGACCGGAGCGGCATGGACCCGATTGACTTCTTCCTTAGCCTGCCAAACATGCTGGGGGGAGAAGCAGAGACGCTTTATCACATGAAGATTGGTGAATGGGTGAGGAGGGCGGAGGAGGATGATGAAGATCCGACGATGCTGTTCTTGGAGCGGTTGAGGAAGCAATTTCCTGGCCACACCGCTGAGCGTATCAAAGAGTTCCAGGAGTTTAAGCGCCGAAATGAGGAGTCACTCCTGACATACTATGGGCGACTAACAAACCTGGCAGAGGATGTTGTGTGCACGGACAAGAGTATGATCATCAGCAAGTTCTTAGATGGATTAGACAAGGGACTCGCGGGGGGCCTGAGGATGAGAGTTTATGAGTTGGGAGCAGACGCGACACCAGAGGAGGTGTTCGAACTGGCGGAGAGAGTGGAGTTAGCACAAAGAAAGTACGAGGTGTACCTGCCAAGAGCGGCAGAAAGGAAGAATCGTGCTTGGGCAGCGGCAATGGTGCCTGAGACAGGAGGGAGGGAAGAAAGCAGGCAGGAGAGAGGGGCAGAGACGCGCACCTGTCACCGATGCAAGCAGCCGGGACACCTGATGAGAAACTATAGAAACTGTGATAGCTGCGGGAAGCCTGGACATCGGCGGAAGGATTGCCCGGATGCGCCAACCTGTGAAGAGTGTGGAAAGCGGGGGCACAGGGGCAAGGATTGCTACCAACACGCGGGAGGGCAGCGCAGGACAGCAGAGGAGATAGAAGGGCAGATAGGCCGGCTACAGGCGCAGCTGCAGGCGATGGGCGGGAAGAAAGGGAAGGAGGCAGGGTTATACGCAAGGGAAGATGATGACGAAGCAGATGTAATAGAGGAACCGACGCCGGAGTACAACTTCATGGTGATGCGCAGCAGAGACGACCTAGGCCTGCGTAGCGGAGGAAAGGATGGGCGGAAGGAGCAGTTGGTGAGGGAGATGAGTCGGCCGCGGTGTAAGAAGGAAGAGCGGGAGGATAGAGGGGAGGAGCCCAGCCGTCACCCGAAGGATAGGCTGGCCAGCCAGGCAACAGTGCTGGTAGTGGAAGCAGGGGCAGTGATGGTGGGAGGAATAGTGGCTAAAACCGCGATCCTGGATACAGGGGCACAGAGCGTTATGCTGGGGAAACGGTTGGCACAGAAGCTGGGACTGACGGGGCCAGGACAGCACGTGAAAAAAGGGATGCTGGTGATGACAGCGGAGGGGGGAGAGCCCAAATGGCTACCCTGCACGAAGACGCCATTGGAAGTGACGCTACTGCCGGGACAAGAAGGGCAGACGAGTCTCCAAGTGCAGTGCGGCCGATCCGAGTCAGAGGATTTTGACGTACTGCTGGGAACCGATCTGATATGGGGAGTAGGCATGACCATTTGTACGTGGAAAGAGAGGGTACAGTTCCGCAATCAGTACTGGTTAAACAATAGTGGAGTGAGGGAGCTACCTGTGCAGTTCGTGAGACAAGAACCCAAGAGAGCGTATGTGACAGGGGCAGCCATGAGGAAAGATGCAGGGAGGGCTGGACTGGTGGGCACAGCTACGGCAACCGGCGGGTGGCAGGAACCGATACGACTAGTGGAGCTATTTGGAGGCGTTGGCGCAGGGCTGGCAGCAGTGGTGAAAGCGGGGATTGCAGTGAAAGAATGGGTGTACATGGAGAAAAATGAGAAGGCCAGGAAAATGGCAGAACACCATGCACGGATGCTGCAGGAGGAGTATCCAGAGCTGCTGGAGAAAGAAGTGATAGAGAAGGCAATGCAGAGAGCGGTGAAGGACGTGAGGGAAGTCACACCAGAGGTGGTCAGGGGCTGGGGGCAGGTGGACCTGCTAGTGGCGAGGTGGGAGTGTCAAGGGGTGTCGAGAGCAGGAAAGGGCAAGGGAATGGAGGATCCCAGAGGAGAGCTGCTGCTAGATCTACTACGTATCATGGACTGGATACGGGAGAGGCAGCAGAATTTGGTGTATATCCTGGAGAACCTAGACCTGGAGGGGGATTGCAGGGAGCCAGTGAGGAAGGTGAGGGACTTGGTGAAGAAGAAACTGGGGAGAGGGGTCAGGTGTGACGCAGCAAGGCTAGGGGCATGCGCCCACAGGGTAAGAAGGTATTGGCAGAATGTGGTACCTGATCAGCAGCTGCAAGAAGAGTTGGACGGGATACGGAGGGACAAGAGCAGGAAGGTGAAGGATATCCTAGAGCCATGGAGGACAGCAGCCCCAGTGCGGAAGGGAAGACACGAAAGCCAGTGTCCCTGCAACAAAGTGGGGGCAGAACGCAGGGCATGGCCGACGCTAGTGGCGTACAAAAAGGTGGCAGGGTTTAAGATGGAGGAAGGAGAGCCAAGGGAGGGGATGGTGTATGATCACACAAAGCAGCAATGGGAGGAACCCACTGCCTTGGAGCGGGAGCTAGCGATGGGATATGGAGAGAACGTGACGAAGGCGGAAGGGGTGACTGAGCAAGAAAGGCGACGAGCATTAGGACAGGCAATGGATGGGCAGGTAATGAGGTGGTTCATACAGAGGATGTGGAGGGGATTGGTGCTAGAGGCAGAAACGGCAGAAGAGAAGCAGGAGGTGGAGGTCCAGAAGGTGGGGGCATGGGCCAGCGTACCGGTGAAGGAGGGAGCAGAGTGGGCAATAGGACATGCCATGGGGAAGGATGGTAAGGAAGCACTGCAGGAGGTATTGGCTAGGTTCAGGCACGCATTCGCCTTCACGCTGCAGGAGTTGGGGAAGTGCACGGTGAAAGAAATGGAGCTGAAACTCACCACAGAGGAGCCGATGTTCCAGAGGAAGCGGAGGATGACCCCAGGGGATGAAGACGTCTGCAGGAAGAAGTGCAAGGAGTTATTAGAAGCAGGGCTAATTCAGAGGTCAGAGTCGGAGTACGCCACCCCAACAGTGATAGCAGAACGGAAGGATCTCACGGGGGAAGTACTGAGCAGGCACATGTGTGGGGATTACAGAGCGTTGAACAAGCTGACCGTGCCTGACAGGTACCCCATGCCCACAGCGGAGGAGATCTTTGACAGACTAGGGGAGGGGGAGGTGTTCAGCACATTAGATCTTCGGCAAGGATTCAATCAGATCAGGATCAAGCGTGAGGATGTGCGTAAGACAGCGTTTCACGGGGCTGACGGCCTGTACGAATGGCTGTTCATGCCATTCGGGCTGCGCAACGCGTCCGCCATCTTTCAACGGGTGATGGACAGTGTGCTGAGGGGACTAGACTGCGCGGCATGTTATCTTGATGATGTGGTTATCTTTAGCAAGTTGGTGGAGGAGCACGTGAGGGATGTGGAACGCACCTTGACAGCATTGGCGGTGGCAGGGCTGACATGCCACCCAAAGAAGTGTCGCTGGGGAGAGGCGACGGTGCAGTATGTGGGGTACGAAGTGAGGGGGGGACAGATGGGAATACACAAGGCAAAGGTGGCGGTCCTAGACCGTCTGCAGCAGCTGAAGGACAGGAGCGGGCTGCGGGCCGTCTTAGGGTTCCTTAGCTATTACCGGCGCTTCGTGCCCAACTTCAGCAAGCGGGCAACAGCACTAAACAGCTTGCGGAGGGAGGATCGGAAATGGGAATGGGGAGCACAACAAGAGAGGGCGCTGAGGGACTTGATGGGAGCAGTGCAGACAGCGACAGTACTGCAGCTGCCAAGGGCGGATAAGCCCTTCTCACTGTACACTGATTGGAGCAGTCAGGGCATGGGTGTTATCGTGTGCCAAGAGCTGGATGGGGAAGAACGAGTAGTAGCGTATGCAAGCAGGAGCTGCAACCCAGCGGAGGCAAAGTATAGCTCTTACCATGGAGAGGGGCTGGCGGCGGTATGGGTAGTGAAACACTTTCGCGTGTACCTGCAGGGCAGGGAATTCACCCTGATCACATACCACCAGCCGTTGCAGTGGCTGATGACGCATCAAGGGTTGACAGAGAGAAACGCGCGCTGGGCTGTCACCCTGCAGGAATATGACTTCAAGATACGCCATAGGCCGGGAGAAACGCTGCAACACGTGGATGGGCTCTCAAGGAACCCACCAGCAGCAGAGCCAGTGCACACGCTGATGATGATGGCCAAGCAGGGGGAGGTGGCGGCGGCAGGAAAACAGAGGGGGCCACAGGACATATGGGAGGATCCGGTGGCGCTGCGATGGATCAAAGGGGAGACAGAAGCAGACGAACAGGTGTCAGACAGGATGAGAACGAGAGGACACCACTACCGCCGGTACCAGGGAGAGCTGCAGCTACAGACAGTGGATGGGTGGAAGCTGGTGCCTGCACCATAGGAGAGAGAGAGCGTGATTGAGGAGGTGCATAGGAAGTTGGGGCACTTCGGACACGAGCGCACGACCCAGCTGCTGAAGACGGGCTGGTGGTGGGAAGGAATGGGGAGGCAGGTCAAGGATTGGGTGAGTGGGTGTGAGAGCTGCCAAAGAAGCAAGGCCAGCATGATGCAGGCGAAGCAGGAGCTGCAGTTGCTGCCGATAAGAGGACTGGGGTTTAGGTGGTCTTTAGACTTAGCCGGCGAGCTACCGCTGAGCAGGGGAGGCAAGCGGTACAT